TTTTTTTGAGACGGAGGAGTCTCACTGTGTCTTCCAGGCTGGAATGCAGTGGTGTGATCACGACTCACTGCAGCCTCGACCTCCCAGGCTCAAGCAATCCTCCCACCTAAGCCTCCCAAGTAGCTGGGACCACAGATGCATGCCACCATGCTTATTTTTATATACTGTTGAGATAGGGTCTCCGTATGTTACCTAAGCTGGTCTTGAACTCCTGGGGTGAAGTGATCCTCCCACCTTGGCCTCCCAAAGTGTTGGGAGTATAGGCGTGAGCCGCCGAGCCCGGCCTTTCCCTTTGTCCATTCTCCAGAGTGATACAGTGTCTCCTTGAACAGACGGTTTCTTGAAGTCAGAGTCTATCTTCTCTGTCCCTTCTTCCCCTTCATTATCTAAGACTGAGGTTGTGGTTTATATGCTTAGAGTTGAAAGCATGGGGTCCAATGTGTCCTGTACTCTGTAGTTCTCCAAACTCTTCAGGGAAACTGCTGAGCTCTCAGGTGGTTCTTTTCTGTTTTTCTCAGAGTGTGTTATCTAATAACTGAAGAGGACTCTGCCCTTTGGCCTGTTCCTGACTTTCTAGCTCCTTTTGCTGGAGGAAGGGGAGGTGATGGGGGGTGCCCTGTGCTGTGAAAGCCCCACTTGCCCTCTTCCCTACACTTTCTTCCAATGCAGACGGGAGGACATATTATATAAATGTAGTAAGTATGGATCAGGGGAGCTCTGAGGGGCCAGCAAGGGAAACCAGAGACAAAATGAGTTGGCTGGTAGGTGGCGACCACAGGAACCCTGCTGAGGGTGCAAGGCCAAGGTGGTGCCTCCTCAGTGGGCCCAGGAGCATCAAAACTGACACAGTCCCTTTCAACCTTCAGGAGCCTCCTAAATGTCACTTACTGATGTCCCATTCCCCCGCTTAAAGGCCCTGCATCCTGCCAGCTAGCTGTCCACAGATCCTGAGCTCTGCCTGGGTGAGCCAGACAAAAAGAATGCTCCCTGGCCAGGGTGGTGACACTAGGGCCTAGACAGAGACAGAGAGACAGGATAGAAGATCCTGAAAGCTGGGGTAGGGAGCTAAGGAGGGCATGGAGCCAGGGGAATACATCCTGGCTGAAGTGAGGGACAATTTCTAGAGGAGGGAACCTGAGTAAGGAAGGCCTGACCAAGGACGGAGAAGGGGACATTATCCTGATCTATAAAGGAAGGTTCAAGTGGGGATTGACAGCCAGGCTGGGTAGGGTCCAAGCTTTGGGCAGGCGACTGTCCAGAAGATGAGGCCTGAGAATGGGGCTTCAGAGCCCAGCCAGAAGGGGAAAGCACAAAGTTCTAGCCTCCTTCCTCTCATCCCTCCATGCTGCTCAAATCCCAGGTCTTCAGGCACCATGGAGGACAAACGCAACATCCAGATCATCGAGTGGGAACACCTGGACAAGAAGAAGTTCTACGTGTTTGGTGTGGCAATGACAATGATGATCCGTGTCAGCGTCTACCCATTCACCCTCATCCGCACCCGGTTGCAAGTGCAGAAGGGGAAGAGCCTCTACCATGGGACCTTTGACGCCTTCATCAAGATCCTGCGAGCAGATGGTATCACTGGCCTCTACCGAGGGTTCCTGGTCAATACCTTCACCCTCATCTCTGGCCAGTGTTATGTCACCACTTATGAGCTCACCCGGAAGTTTGTAGCTGACTATAGCCAGAGCAACACAGTCAAATCACTGGTGGCTGGTGGCTCAGCCTCCCTTGTGGCCCAGAGCATCACAGTGCCCATTGATGTAGTCTCCCAGCACCTGATGATGCAGCGCAAGGGTGAGAAAATGGGCCGCTTTCAGGTGCGGGGGAACCTAGAGGGACAAGGGATAGTTGCCTTTGGCCAAACCAAGGACATCATCAAGCAGATCCTGCGGGCTGATGGGCTACGTGGCTTCTATCGAGGCTACGTGGCTTCACTGCTTACCTATATCCCCAACAGTGCCGTCTGGTGGCCCTTCTATCACTTCTACGCAGGTAAGCAGGGGCCAGGTTGGGGGAGGAAGGTGGGATTTCTAATCGGGCTGAGATACTATTGGTTGGTGCATGTTAGAGTAGAGGTGAGATTTATTGGGGTAATGGGTCATTCATTCATCAAATGTTTGAATCCAAGAGGATTTAAAGCTGCATAAAACATGGTTCTTACTTTCAAGGAGCTTCCAATGAAGTGGGGGAAGCAGACAGGTGGAAAGACTAAAACAGTGTGCAGCATATGCTCTGTGTGCTTTGGAGTCACTGGAAGGTGGGGGAGGACAAAAGCCGTGTTTGGGATTTGAAGATGAATCTAATGGGTAATAGTAAGCTTTTGAGGTGGATGTTTTTCCTCAGCATTTTTTTTCTTTTTTTCTGAGACAGTCTTGCTCTGTCGGCCAGGCTGGAGGGCAGTGGCACAATCTAGGGTCACTGAAACCTCCGTTTCCTGGGTTCAAGCAATTCTCTGCCTCAGCCTCCCGAGTAACTGGGATTACAGATGCCTGCCACCACACCTGGCTAAATTTTGTATTTTCAGTAGAGACGGGGTTTCACCATCTTGGCCAGGCTGGTCTTAACTCCTGACCTCGTGATCCATCTGCTTTGGCCTCCTAAAGTG